TATCTATCTATCTATCTATCTATCTATCTATCTATCTATCTATCTATCTATCTATCTATCTATCTCTCTCATTTATCTATCTCATTCCATCTTTCCATTTATAGAATATTCAGGTAGCTAACAATAAAAAATAAGAGAAATACAAAAATAATTAAGACACATTAAAATGTGGTGGAGAATGAAATGGGATGAATACCCTCAAGAGATATTAATATAAGGCTCAAGAAAAGTGGCTTAGGCCACCATGGAGCACTGGGCTGCCCTTAAGAGAGACGATTCTCACCGAGTCGACAAGGATGAAAGCTGCAGGATGGCGCTGTTTTACCCCTGCTCGCTGGAACCGGACTACGATCTTGTAATGGTTTCTGGGCTCAAAGCAGAATGGTCTTGGTAGAAGCAGGTATCTGTGGAGCAAAGATAAGCAAAGAACTTGTCAGGAAAAGCACAGGATGCATTACGGTAGAAACAGATGCAGGCAGGTTGAAGAGCCCAGTTCGTAAATGGCAGTTATGGTGGTAGGCTTGGAGAGTTGATACACATGCTTGCCAATCTGAAGAACAAGGACAACCATGTTGGGAAGGTGATGCAGGGCCAGAGCACCTAGCAGCCCATCTGCTGAGCCAAGCTATTAAGCAACTCATTAGAAAGAAGGACGTTCCCCTGGAACCCAGCTGAACCCATTCTACATGTCCCACACAGATCAGACTAGCAGGGAAAAATCACTATGTCTAAGGTGCATATCTACTAAAGTCCTGGCAAACACATATATGGTGTTCCCAGCATACTTGGCATTGTTGCTTACCAGGAGATTTTTATTTTTTAATGAAGGCCTTGGAAAAGATATTCAGATACTGCAATGTATCATAGTTCAAAGATCAGAATTGTGCAGGCAATGTTTTTCCCTGTGACACTCTATGGAAGCAAAAGTTGGACTTTGGAGAAGCAGGATAGAAGGAGTATTGATGCCTCTGAACTTTGGTGTTGGAGAAGACTCCTATCCTCTTGGAGAAAACAAACAAATGGATCATCAAGCAAATCAACCCAGAGCCCTCAAGGCACAAATGACCAGGCTCAAATTATTAGACTTCAGAAATATTATACAAAATTCTACTTCTCTGAAGAAATCAGCAATGCTCTGAAAGGTGGAAAGAAAAAGAAAAAAGAGGACAACTAGAAGCAAGGTAGGTGGTCAATTACAGCAACAATGGGTACACCACTGGAAGACCTGAAGGACCAGGTTGGGGACAGATCCTCCTGGAGAAAATCTGTCTATATGATTGCTAAGAGTTGACACCAACTTGATGGTACATAATTAATTAAAGTAGGATTCATTGTTTACATGTCAAACCCTACTATACTTACTTAGTCCTGAATTCCTGCTGCTCGCAATACTATTTCTACTATTACCAGAATTTTCTACCTGAACCTATCTCCAATAGGACATAACAAAAATCAGTCTATCTATAGTGATTTTAGGGATCAGAAAAAGAGGGTGCACTGTGATTCTTGTTGTAGCAGTAAAGTTTTTTTTTTTTTACATGTTATCTAATCAATGGAAGTATAGGAACAGATTGCCTTTGGAACTACTTACATCCCTATTACTGACAGCTGTTCAGAACATCAAATCAGAATTGTTTCAAGGGAAATTATTTTTTGTCCCAATTTCCAAGAAAGGAAAGAAAAGAAATAATAAATATGGAGGACCTCCCTTTCAACTCAAAATCACAAAGAAACAAAATCTGCCAGAAAAAAGTAAATTCACCTCCAAAGAGTTTTCTGTTATTTTTTCATGGTGTTTATATTTTCTAGTTGCTCTGGGGGGGTTTTCCCCTCCCCTCTTAATTTATGCACATACAGCAGGCTTCTCAAACTTTGTAGTACCGTGACATCCTAGAATGATAACTGTTTGTGTGTCAGCCTTGCAGGGTAGTCCAAACAAGAAGTACAACCAGAAGTAATAGCTCTAACTTTGTTGTAAGGTTACATTAACAGAATCTTGCAAGTCTGAAAGTACCTCTCTCCCCCCTCGCCTTTACAGTCCAAGAAACTAGGGAGGATCCCTTCTGAGACATCTGCCACTCCCCCATTCCTTCTGCGTGCTTAGCTGCCGCTTATCTAATCATTGTCTAGTCTGACTCTTCCTCTTGCCTCCAAGGTCATTCCCACATACCATTACATTGTGTGACACCCCCCCCTCCCCTCCAATAAACTGAATCACTGGAGTGAGGTTGGGGAAGAAATAAATATACAGTAATACCTCAGTTCACAAACGCTTCTGTTCACGAACAATTTGGTTCATGAACAGCACCGTTCGCAAAATTTTGCTTCCGTTTGCCAGCTCCACATTGGGTGACGAACATGACCCGCAGCCATCTTCCCTGTTCTGACACGTGGTCGTGGCTTCCTGTAGGCGAGGGGGACTCTCCCTCCAAACAATAAGCGCCTCCCCACCGGCCTTCCTGTCCTCCATGCCAGAAGTCGCCTCAAGCAAGGTTCGTGTTCTCTCTCTTCAGACTGTACTGTACTGTACTTTGTTTCATATTTTCTGTGGTTTAATAAAA